ACATCCTTTCTTAATAAAGACCCTCGAGAAAATCAGGATTGAAGGAACTTACCTAAACATCATAAAAGCCATTTATGAAAGGTCCACAGCTAATATAATTCTCAATGAGGAAAAACTGACATGATACTCTACATAGAAAACCCGACAGACTGCACCAGAAGCCTACTAGAACTGATCCATGAATTCAGCAAAGTCGCAGGGCACAAAATCAACATACAGAATTTGGTTGCATATTTATACACCAATAATGAAGCAACAAAAAGAGAAATCATGAAACTTACCTCATTCACAATTGCACAAAAAACCCATAACATACATAGGAATAAACCTAACCAAAGATATAAAAGATCTGTATGATGGAAACTATAGAAAACTTATGAAGGAAATTGAAGAAGACACAAAGAAATGGAAAAACATTCCATGCACATGGATCGGAAGAATAAATATTGTTAAAATGTCACTACTACCCAAAGGAATCTACACATTCAATGCAATCCCAATCAAAATTGCACCAGCATTCTTCTCAAAGCTAGAACAAACTATCCTAAAATTCATATGGAACCGCAAAAGACTCAAATAGCTCAAGTAATATTGAAGAAGAAAACCAAAATGAGAGGCATCACCATCTCAGACTTTAGCCTCTATTACAAAGCTGTCATCATCAATACAGTATGGTATTGGCACAAAAACAGACACATAGACCAATGGAATAGAATACAGAACACAGAATTGGACCCACAAATGTATGGCCAACTAATCTTTGACAACGTGGGAAAGAGTGTCCAATGGAAAAAAGACAGCCTCTTTAACAGATGGTGCTGGGAGAACTGGACAACAACATGCCGAAGAATGAAACTGGATCGCTTTCTTACACCATAGACAAAAATAAACTCAAAATGGATGAAGAACCTGAATGTGAGACAGGAAACTGTCAAAACCCTAGAAGAGAAAGCAGGAAACAACCTCCTTGACCTCAACTGCAGCAATTTCTTACTTGACACATCCCCAAAGGCAAGGGAAGCAAGAGCAAAAATGAACTATTAGGACCTCATCAAGATAAAAAGCTTCTGCACAGGAAAGGAAACAATCAATAGAATAGGCAACCAACGCATGGGAAAAGATAGTTGCAAATGACATAACGGATAAAGGGCTAGTATCCAAAATCTATAAGGAACTCACCAAACTCCACACCCAAAACTCAAATACTCCAGTAAAGAAATGGGCAGATGACATGAACAGACACTTCTCCAAGAGGACATCCAGATGGCAAACAGATACATGAAATGATGTTCAGTGTCATTCATCATCAGGGAAATACAAATCAAAACCACACTGAGGTGCCACCTCATGCCAGTTAGAGTGGCTAAAATGAACAAATCCGGAGACTCTAGATGCCAGTGAGGATGTGGAGAAATGGGCACCTTCCTACACTGTTGGTGGGAATGTAAACTGGTGCAGCCCCTCTGGGAAACAGTGTGGAGGTTCCTCAAAAATTTAACAATAGACCTCCCCTGTGACCCAGCAATAGCACTACTAGGAATTTACCCAAGGGATACAGGAGTGCTGATCCATAGGGGCATATGTACCCCAATGTTCACAGCCGCACTCTCAACAATAGCCAAATCATGGAAAGAGCCTAAATGTCCATCAGCTGATGAATGGATCGAGAAGATGTGGTTTATCTATACAATGGAATACTACAATGGCAGTGAGAAAGAATGAAATCTGGCCATGTGTAACAACATGGATGGAACTCGAGGGTGTTATGCTGAGTGAAGTAATTCAGAGAAAGACAGATACCCATATGTTTCCACTTATAACCGGAACAGGAGAAACTTAACTGAGGACCATGGGGGAGGAGAAGGGGAAAAAATAGTTGGGGAGAGGGAGGGAGGCAAACCATAAGAGACTCTTGAATATTGAGAACAAACTGAGGGTTGATGGGGGTGGGGGAGAGGGGAAGGGGGTGTTGGGCATGGAGGAGGGCACTTGGGATGAGCACTGGGTGTTGTTGGAAACCAATTGACAATAAACTATTTATTAAAAAAGACAAACTATTAAAGAAAAAAATAATGCTTCTTTCTTTCATAACATTTTTTTCCTATTTGTAGCATGTATAATTGTTTCATTAAAATCTTGTTTCCACTATGAGGGCAGAGTAAGTGTCACAATAAGCACAGGACTCATGGCAACTCTTCCTGGTCGCCTCTGCAATCAATATTATGATGTGGACAACTGAATTTTTCTCAGTCTTATATAAAGGGATATGAGAGTGAAGCCTTTAGACATCACCCCCCAGTCACACATAAACAGATAAAGGAGAACACATCAGAAACTAACAGCAAACTCACACTAAATGGTGAAATAGTAAGGGCATTTCCATTTACCTAAGGAAGAAGGTCGGGGAAACCCTCAATAATCACTATTATCAACATAGTTCTGGAGATTCTGGTCAATGCAGTACATCCAGGAAATGAAAGAATAAGAGCTATATATATTGGAAAAGAAAACAATTTTAAAAATCATCATTTCCAGATGATTATGTATGCATAACTAGAAAAAACAAAGATAACAGTTGAAAACCTATCAGATATATTAAGAAAGGTCAGTAAAAATAATAATTATTGTTTCCTTAAGTATGAAATAACCTGGTAGAAAATATAATCATAAAAGGAAATTCATCCTTCAAAACAACAAAATAATAAATAACTAGGAAGAAATTTAACAAGTAATGAGTATGACCTACTTAAAGAAACATAAAACTTGTTGAAGATCATAAAAGTCAACGTGGATAAAAAGACTCAATTTTTTAAGATGTTGGTTCTCAAATTAAAGTGCAGAATTCATTGCACTGTATGTCACTAAATGTGAACCATTTTGTTCTGTGTATGTTCAACTTGGAACTTGACATATACTTTTTGTATTTGCATGAAGAAAGGTGGAAATTTTTAAAAGTGGTTGGTGGTGGAATATGAATTGCAGGTCACTTTCACATTCTACTTTATACATTTCTGCATTGTTTGCACATTAAAAAATAAGTGTGTATAATGAGAGAGAGAGACAGGTAGAGTGAGAGAGAGAGAGACGCAGAGAGAGAGAGGAAGAGATCGATTTCTATTCAAGAGATGTATCTTTTTTCCTATGTAAGTACTTAGGTTTTTTTACTTTAATTTTTTTAAGTTTATTTATTTATTTTGAGAGAGAGCGCGCACAGGCTGGGGAGAGGCAAAGAGAGAATCCCAAGGAGGCTTTACACCTGTAGTGCAGAGCCCAACATGGGGCTTAAACTCATGAACCACGAGGTTGTGACCTGAGCGGACTGAGCCATTCAGGTTCCCCCCTCCCTTTTTTTTTTTTAAGTCATAGGTGCCTGTAAGAATTTGCTGAATGTTATGACCCCTCTCCCAACTAAAATGAACATCGGCACAGAGGCAGCCAGTTAAGAACACCTACTCTAGTATCAGTAATGACACTAATCAGTATGGCCAGTGAGGAGACTCCCTTGGTCCCCAGCATACATTTGACTGAGGGAGCACCAAAGTGGGTGTGGGCTGTAGGCAGTGACCCTGCAGCAGGACTAGGTTCTCCCTGGGTGCCTGCAGCAAGGAGGCCAGAGGTAAGAGGCCCAGCTGGCTGCACCTCTCAAGCCAGGTGGGAGCAGCAGACAGAGTTAGGAGCAATGTTAACTAAGTCACCATGAATGAAGGCAGCGCAGGCAGACCTGGATGCTTCCTCCAGCCAGCAATCACTTCTTGGAAACCTGCAGCTGCAGGGGTATGTAGGAAGAGCATGGTCTTCTGTGTATCCCTGAGTTATATCTGTGGGATTTTGGGGAGGGAGAGAGAAAGGGAACAACCCAAAGGTGGTTACTCAAATTGGTCACCTGAGTAAAGGTGGCATTTACCATCTTGGTCACCTGTCCATGTGTACTTTTGGAATGATCAACAGAGTCAGTGCCTAACTGTAAGGATGTGAGGCTTTGGAATACTGGAGAGGCAGGAGCACAGCACCTTCCTCCCTCATTTTTTGACAAAGCTGAGAGGATCAGACCATTTCTATACTCCACACACCCTCAGCTGCCTCTGCCTTGGAGGACTAGAATCTCATCGAGGGGCAGCTGTTCAGAACGGCTATCAAATTAAAAGAGGCTCACACAGCAGTTAGCCAAGACTTTGGGATGTCTTTCTTTAATCAAACAAGACAAGATTGTGTTGCTTTTTTTAACCAAATTGTAAGGTTATCCAAAAATAGAGAAAGTAGATCATTTACATTAAATAGCCAAAATTAGATGACTACATACTAAATCTCTTTGTGGACAAATTCGCAGATTGTAGCAAAAAATTGTTTTCAATTTTAAAACAAGTTAGTGTGTTTTGAAAGCTGTTATTTGGCTATAACCAGTAGAAACATTGTTTTCTTATAAATAAATATAATGTAATTAATGAGGCCTTTTGGGTTTTCCCTCCCTCTTAAATTTTTCTCCACTCCAATAAAAATAGCATCATTTCATCTTCTCAATATAAAAGTAATCCATTATTGGTTTTAAAGAATGGGACAGGAAAGTTTAAGAAAGTAAGACATTCCCACTATGCATGTTCTTTTCTGAAATCTTTCCTCCCATTTCATATAGGGGTGCAGGGAAAAGCCTTTAATGACTGGAGGTGGGGGAAGGTGAGAGAATGCGAGAAGCAGTTGGAGAGGGAGTAGAGAAGGAAAAAGAACTATTCCTCAACGGGGCGGGGGGGTGTGTGTGGGACAATGGACAGGGGAACAGATGCAGTTTCTCCCAGTTCACCAGAGAAAGGCAAATTCCAGCCACAAGGAGCAGCTCTCCTCAGTCTCCGGGATTGGCAGAAGAAAATGAGTGGCAGGACCTGATGTTTCAGGAAGTAAAGGGGTGGGCCGGCTCCTGCCGCACTGCTGATGGGAGTGGTAATTGGGATCCTGATGTCTCCGGTGACGTGGCCCTCACGTGAGCAGGAGCCGACGTTTGCCGACGTCCTTCTAATCCTGGTCCTGGGTTGTCCGGTTACCAGCTCCCTATTGCCTTAAGGGCGGTCGGGCCGGTAGCCTGGGAAGGAGGAGGAAGTAATTCCCAGGATCCCAGCAGGTCTGTGTGTGGATGGGAGCAGCCTGGGGGGAAACCTGCGGTGTGGGTAGCGGAGGGTGGAGACAAACCCGGCTTTCTCAACACCCTTGCACTGTCCCTGGCCCTTCCAAGAACAGAAATGGTGGGCTTTGGGGGCCGGATCCCAGGCCAGGAGGGAGGAAATTTGAAAACTTTGGCATCAAGGGCCTTGAATCGGGAAGGGCAGATATTAAGATTCTAGTCCTGTGTGCATCCATCTACCAAGCCAGAATCTTGAGGCTGTGCGTCCGTCATTCCCCATGTCTTTCAGTAGGGCGCTGTATACCACCCAGAGCAACATCCAGAGCAAAAGAATAAAGAATCTGCTCCGAATCCCTGCAGGTCAGTGTAAAGGTGGGATCGCCCCGCGGCCCCAGGAAGGGTGGGGGATGGTTGAGGTCCTTGCCTTAACTTGGGCCCATTTAGGACTCCAGCTACCTTCTTGTTATTTTATGTAGGAAAAGGGATGTGACGGCGCCTACAGGGAAAATGGCTGTCGTTGGGGGTTGAAGTGCATTGGGGAGGGGGATCTTTTGCTCCTCTGCTTTTCCATACACTCTTGCCCGCCTCCTCCTTTTTCAGTTGTTCGAAAGGGGTGTGCTTTTTGTGCTGGGAAAATGGCCGACCGCTTAGGGTGGATGCTGTGGGAGTGGGTGAGTGGACACTGGGCTTAAAGAGGGCTGATGTCAGTGGAGTCCTACTCCACTGTAGGGGTAAAGGATTAGAGACCAAAACATGAAATCCATTTGACAACCAGGGTCCTGAATTTGGAAAAGCTGGTATTGAGACTCTCTGAAGTGCTGTTCTGTCCACCAGCCATCTGCCTCTGCCGTGTGGCTTGTCTGTCTTTGGACACACTTTAGGGCCAATTTAACCGTAGAAACAGGAAGAAGAGGACAATTGTTCAGAAAAAGTAGGTCAAAGTGAGGGTGGTGGCAATATTTGGGACTCCGGGGGTGGAGAACTGTGGAGACTGCAAACCCCAGTGGCCTCATACCTCCTCCACACACTCCCTCCTTTCCTCCTCTTTATACCATTTTGGAACTTTCAAAACAAAGTGCTCTGCAGGTATTAGAAAAAGAAGGAAGTGGCTGGGGGGGGGGGGTGTCATGGGAATCCTGAAGTGGGGGTGGAGAAGATCTTGCTCCAAATTATTCTTTGGAGTATGGTGTCCCGGGTTTGTCTCCTTCCGGCAAGCACTCAGTCCCAGAGTTCTCAGTCCTTAGGTTTGGTGGGAGAGACAGAAACTGAGATGAGAGAGGAAGGAAATTGCTCCAGACCAGTGGAAGTTGGTATAATGGGTGAAGGGAGGAGTGTCCTGGAAACTTGGAGATGCGGGGGATGCGGAGGGAAGGGCAAGCTCCAAAACTTTGTTCATTTTGTGTCTGTTCATATTCCAGACAATCTCTTCACCACCATTTGATTTGTTACAGGGAAAGGGCTGTGAGGTCACCTTTGAAGGAAGCAACTTACCCGGGTGGGGTGAGGATGAGTGGAGGCTTGAAAGAGATAAAGGAGATGGGGAAGGGAGATAATAAATTTCAAAGCTACACCCCCGTGAGGAGTGGAGGGTGATGTTGGGCTACACAGAGCAAGGGCCAGAGATTCAGGAAAGGGATGTGTGTCCCTTCCAGGGTGAGGTCCTTCTGCCCCTTGATCATTCAGCATCCTCCTCCCCACCTGTTTGTATGCACGTTTACAGGACACAGTGGACTTCCAGGCAAGGAGGAGAAGGAAGAAAGTGCCTAAACATGTGTGGGTGAATGTGGGGGCACTAATACCCCCAGGACATCTGGGGTAGGGGAGGTAGGGAAATAATTAGGTACCTTAAATTTAACATCATGGAGTGGGAGGTTGGAGAATCTGGACGTGGGGAAATTTTTCAAAATTACCTCCCACACAGAGGAAAGGAATCAGTAGTCCAACCCTGATTCACTGTCATGTCCCCATATGTTTGTCGGTCTGTAGTTCAGTCTGTCTGCATGCAAAGGCACAAAAAGGGGGACTGACGCTTTAAATCTTTCCTTCATTCCTAGGTTCCACTGTATCTGTAGCTGCAGCAGGGCTTGCCAGCTATAGCTGAAGACTCCGCCCCCAACATAGGAGCACCTCTCTAGGCCAGAGTAATCTGACTCCACCCTGGTTAAGAATTCGGTTCACACATTGTCCCCAGAATGGGCCGTACTCGGGAAGCCGGCTGCGTGGCCGCTGGTGTGGTGATTGGGGCTGGCGCCTGCTACTGTGTATATAGACTGACCTGGGGACGAGATGATAATGAGAAAATCTGGGACGATGATGATGAAGACGACAAGGAGGAATCTAGTGATATTGTGGAGACTAGGGTTGAAATTGGGAAAGGAGCTAAACCTAATGCTGTGGTGGACGCTGGAGCTAGGCTTCAGAGTGATTCAAAGGTGAAGTCTGAGATGGCTGTGGTACTTGAGAGTGGTTCAGATGTAAAAGCAGAGGTCCACTTGGGGCTCCAGAGTGGAGGTGGCCTAGAGGCCAAGGCCAAAGCCCTTTTCAGCACCCTGAAAGAACAGGCAAGTGCAAAGGCAGGCAGAGGAGCCAGGTTGGGTACCATCTCTGGGAACAGGACCCTTGCACCCAGTTTACCCTGCCCAGGAGGCAGGGGTGGAGGCTGCCACCCCACCAGGAGTGGCTCTAAGGCTGGGAGTAGGGCAAGTGGAAAAACCAAAGGAAGAACCCGAGGTAAGAGCACCAGGACTCCAGCTACAGCATGGCCTGTTCGCAGAGGCAAGTTCAACTTTCCCTATAAAATTGATGATATTCTGGGTGGTCCAGACCTTCAAAAGGTTCTTAACATCCTGGAAAGGTCAAATGATCCTTTTATTCAAGAAATAGCCTTGGTCACTCTGGGTAACAATGCAGCGTATTCTTTTAACCAAAATGCCATTCGTGAGTTGGGTGGTCTTCCAATTATTGCAAAACTGATAAAAACGAAAGATCCTATTATTAGGGAAAAAGCTTACAATGCCCTTAATAACTTGAGTGTAAATGCTGAAAATCAGGGAAAGATTAAGACCTATATCAGTCAAGTGTGTGATGATACCATGATCTGTCGCTTGGACTCAGCTGTGCAGATGGCCGGACTAAGACTGTTAACCAACATGACTGTAACTAATCATTACCAGCATTTGCTTTCCTATTCTTTTCCAGACTTTTTTGCATTGTTATTCCTGGGAAATTACTTCACCAAGATTCAGATTATGAAACTAATTATAAACTTTACTGAAAATCCAGCCATGACAAGAGAGCTGGTCAGTTGTAAAGTACCATCAGAATTGATTTCCCTCTTTAATAAAGAGTGGGACAGAGAGATTCTTCTTAATATCCTTACTCTATTTGAGAATATAAATGACAACATAAAGAGTGAAGGGCTTGCATCATCTAAGAAAGAATTCAGCAGAAGTTCACTTTTTTTCTTATTCAAAGAATCTGGAGTGTGTGTTAAGAAAATCAAGGCATTAGCAAATCACAATGATCTGGTGGTGAAAGTAAAAGTCCTAAAAGTATTGACCAAACTTTAATTGGGTGTATGTCCCCAAACAATATCGAGATAATTTTTTAGTTTGCATTTGGGAACAATTCATTTTGTAAATTCTTGGTTTGCCACTGTGCTTATATGACAAAAAGATCCTTTCAGCTGCTATTTTGGAATAATGAATATCAAGGATCATCAAGAGTGATGCTATTTGTGGTGGTTGGTTTTAGGCTGGACCATTTTAAGAATGCCAAATGAATACTAGAGCTTGTATAAAGAAAGCATTTATTGATTCCATCTTGCTACCTAGGTTGAGATGTTTTTTACTCTTTCCTCTACCTAAATTTACAACAAACTAATCATAAATAAGCTACACTTTTGTATTGGTTTATATTTGTTAATCTTAGACTTGTGTTTCATCAATAAAGTTGTGTGTTTTAACCAGAAAAAAATTATTCTGTTCCTTGAGTTTATAATTTTGAAAGGCAAGATATATTGAGACAAAATTATACTAACAAAACCACGAGCCTGTGAACATGCCCAGACTCTTCCCATCAGTGCAGAAACTTCTGTAGGCAGTGGTGCTCAGAGAAAATTTTACAGAGAAGGGGGACACTTAAGTAAGCTGAGCTTGAAGGATAGGATAAAAATGGGGATTTTTCGAGAACGACTGATGACTTGGGAGACAACTTTTGTGTTCTGTTAAATATTGTCATAGCACAAAGTAGCACTACTGTATTCACTGGTGATAAATAAAATAAAATTCGTTCCCCCATAGTTTGGTATCTCTGAAGTGATGATGCATCTTACAGTTGATGGCATCTTAGCATTGTGCCATACTTTTAATTAGAAGTTTTTATTCCCTTTTGTAGTGGTACATACAATAATGATGCATCTACTAATCAAAGGCATCTTAGATCAGTGAAATTCTAGTCAATGAGAAAAATGTAAAAATGTATTTAATACATAAAAGATGTATTTGCTCCATAATAAGTACATCATTTTGTACTGATAGAGGTTCTGCAGTAGTTTAAGTTAGGAAACTGGCAGAGGGCTGAGGGGGATTCATCAGATTCCCCTTACAGAAGAATGTTTAAATCAAGGGAAATGGGTGCTGTTGCATCACTACCACATTCATATTGCAGATTGTGATTTAGAGCCAAAAAAGCAACATTATCAACCATATTAATGTTAATTTAATTTTCTTAATTTTGTGGCTTGATTTAGTTTTATTTTGTGAGATTTTTTTGTTTTAAACTTTTTATTAGAGTGAGGGTTGATAGAATATGCCACTTTGGCATAAGAATTATTTTGAGCTAAACGCATTTGAAAAAATAGGTATAGGAAGGTAGGAGATAAAAATCTTATGTGAAAATTATCTTCCCTATACCAGAAGGAAAGACATTCTTATCATCAGAAGGAGTTAAGGCTGAGAGATTTCTGTACAAACAGATCTTGCGAAAATAAACTTTATCTTCCTTTAATCTCCCCATATTTTGGCTACTTTTACACAATTCCATCATTTCCTTCAACCTACTATATAAGCACTTGGATTTTGCCACTTGTTTGGATCTTCATTTCCTTATGAGGGTTCCTATGTCATGTAGAACTTATACTAAATAAATTTGTTTGATTTTCTCATTATAATAATTTCAGACAAAACTAGAAACCTTTGTTTTCTCTCTTTTTAAGGATAATATTACTCAAATTTGATCAGCAATGCATTATCTACAAGACGTATATTATAGAGGAAAAAAGTGGGTGGTACCTAATATTTGCCAGACACTGTTTGGCATTTTATATAGTTGCCACCACCTCCACTTAAGCTATTCAACAATCTTGTCAAGTAAATATTATTATATTTTTATTGCAGAATAAATGAGACTTGGAGAATATAGGTAAGTTTCCCAAGATCACTCCATCAGTAAGAGGTAGTGTTGGTGGCCTTCCAAACTTGAACATTTTGTTGCTTTAAATTTTTCAATGTTTATTTATTTTTGAGAGGGAGGGAGTGACAGAGAGAGAGAGAGAGAGAGAGAGAGAGAGAATCCAAAGAAGGCTCCAGGCTCTGAGCTGTCAGCAGAGCCTGATGAGGGACTTGAACCCACAAACTGTGAGATCATGACCTGAGCCAAAGATGGACATTCAACCACCTGAGCCTCCCAGGTGTCCCAGCAATTGGCTGCTTTAAAATCAGTTTCTTTGGAAACAAATGTCTGTATAATGCCTCCATAGATACTTGATACAAAACTCCCCTTGATGAAGACAGAGATGGAGATGATATGCCTTATGTCAAGTCCATAACTTTATAGATAATCACACAGCAAAGTGTAGAAGAAAGAGTAAAGTCTTAGGTGTTGCCAATAGGTGAGGTTCAGATGATAAAGAGAGAAAATATTTATCTTGGTGCTCTTATGTGTCAGGCGGGATGAGTAGTTTGAGTATTGAGCAAATAATAATGACTTTTGATATGTTCAAGTTGAGGTACTAAGTGATTTTATAAAATTAGGTGATACTATAATAGACTTTCAGAGCCTGATTTAAAATCATTCTAATTTTTTCCTAAAAAATATTCATTGGAGATACTTGAGAAAATGGAGGCAATGAGAACACACTTGTTTTCTGACCCAGATGTGTAGTTTGGATATCCAAAAAAAATTCACATCAAGCCATGTTGAATTTGGGGTGCTGAGTGACTTTTATTACTTAACCTCATTTGAAATGTGGGTAAAAATGAGGTTAAGTAATAAAAAGCCACAATGTGGCAGGGGCACAGGCCTGACTAGCATCCATCTGCTCTGGCAGATTTCTTCTCCTTCCTTCCCATTATTTCCCCTCTCCCTTCCTCCTACTTCTATCTTTATTTCCTCCTTCTGGAAGATCACTGGCTGTATATATAGTCTCTGTGTTTCTGTGACCATCTAATTTCCAGGACACCAGGTCACGCAACAGTGGGCATTTAATACAAAATAATAATTGTCATTGCTGTGGTAATGTGGCAACCTAGGGTGAGTGGATGCCAAAAATTTTCTGGAACTCTTGTTGAAGGAGAAGCTAGTCTTAGCGTGGCACAGCCCTATGTGTAGTGCATTACTTTTGCTGTCCCACACCTGGTATTATTTGGAACCCAATTGCCCGGACTTTGGGAAGTGCTGTGTGAGACAGATGTGTGACAGCCTGGTCCAGGCAGGCCACATAGCCAGCCAAGCCACATGTTGATGTCCCGATGCTTTCACATTGGAGGTTGCCACTCTCAATCATTTTGGGAAGGGTACAGCTCTAGCATTGAGGCCGTGATTGTGGCAGATCATGGGGGCAAGGAGAAGGCAGTGTTCTCTCTTTAGAGATGATGGCAGCTCCTGGGAAACTGAGGAAATTAGGAACTCAGAGAATATTTTGGTTTTGTTCTCATCTAATGATTTGAGTAATTTAAGTGGGTCTGTCCTTGTCAAATATGTCCAAAGGTAATTTTATAAAAATGAAGTATAGTTCTCTTATAATTGTCACCCCAAGCATAATATTTCAAGGCTCAGAAAAGTGGTTTTCTTTTTTCAAATTCATGTTTTACTTGTCTTGTCTCAGTAAACATCCCAAGTGTAGGTTTAACAAATTGATGTGGTTCAGGCAAACTGTGCTTATGCTTCTGTTTGGTTAATTTCTCTGCTAAGTTCACCCTGTGGTGTGGACTTTGACAAATGGAGACTACTCAAGAGAGCTAACAGATAAATTATTTTCTATCCCTTCCACTTAGACTGTTCTTAGATGCAGTAATTTTATGTGCCCTTACTTAAGACATGTGATGTAAATAATCAGCCGTGTTTTGTTGAAAAGTTCTGTCCAGATGGGTAACTTACTTCCTTGTATTTGCTTTCCCTCTTTCCTTGTTTCAGTTCCTTTTTCTCCTCACACTTTTTTCCTTGTATTATACATCTCAAGGTAAACTTTTGCCCCAAGCCCTGTTTTCTAGTCTTGAGCTAAGAGACTACCCAAACTATTAATTCTATTTTTAAGGAAATGGGTTTTGTAATATAAGATATTACTACAGTAGCTCAGTGCACCAGGCCTCAAAAGTAGTAAACAAAAAAAATGTTTCTACTTAGGAAGAAAATTAACATTTTGAGATAACCAAAAACCTTCCACAAGGCATGCTGTCAGAAAAAGGTAAGTGTTGAGAATATACACCTACTTCACAATACACACAACTGTATATAACAGAAATATTTAAAAGGAAAGCATTGAATTATGTTTATAAAATTTTTGATGGGAACAAGAGTCTATTTTTAAAACCCATAGGTAGGAAAAACTTTCCTCAGTGTGATCAAATATCTAGAAGCCATAAAGGGAAAATATGAAGGATTTGATCACCTATATGGGGGAAAAGCAGGAGCAACACTAAATGAATTAGATATAACTACTTTGACAGCACCAGCATCTATCTAGGTCAGCTTGTCTTCGTTCACTGAGCACTAAACAATCATCTGATGATAATTTGGTTTCTGATGTAGATTGATCTTAGGGAGAGAATGCTTTGAGCAGCAGACACTAAGAATCTGGTTTACTTGGTAACTTTTTTCTTATTGTAACATAAATCATCATTCCTTTATTTTCAAAAGGAAATGCTACCCCACTTAGTAATATGTAATGCCTTCTGCAAACTTAGAAATGCTCAATAAACAGGGGGCTCTATGCCTAAGCAAAGATCCTGTATTATTATAAATGGTCAACAGGGCCAGAAAGTTACACTAAGCCCAATCTTAATGGTGGACTGAATTATATGTTTATGAACCTGTAAAGATAAAGTTACCCATCCCAGTAAGGCTTCCTGCTCTCCCCACCTCCCTTCTCCTTCCACCCAGGCCTATCTCCAAACACACACATTGTCCAAACCGTTAGCACAAGGTCTGAAGGAGACCAAATGGACAGGGCCAAGCATGGAAGTATATCATTCTGAAATATAAATATCTATTATCCTGCTTAATATCACACTTCAGGGCAGAGCTGACTAGGGGTCATTATCCCAGTTTTCTATACCTTAGGATGGCAGCGAGATAGCTCTGGTTTAAAGGGAAGGAAGAGCCACAATTCATAGAAGAAGAAAAAAACCCTTTGGCTTGGGATGTGATGTAAAATGAATGTAGAAAGACAGCATTGAAAATGGTCATCATCATTCTTAGAAAAGCAATTATCATCCCTCCTTATCAGGGAAATACAAATCAAAACCACACTGGGATACTACCTCACGCCAGTCAGAGTGGCTAAAATGAGCAAATCAGAGGACTCTAGATGCTGGTGAGGATGAAACGGGCACCCTCCTACACTGTTGGTGGGAATGTAAACTGGTGCAGCCCCTGTGGAAAACAGTGTGGAGGTTCCTCAAAAAATTAACACTAGAACTCCTCTATGACCCAGCAATAGCACTGCTAGGAATTTACCCAAGGGATATAGG